GGTGGCGGTGGTGATGGTGGTGGTGCTGTTGCTGTTGCTGTTGCCTTTGCCGTTGCTTTGCCCGTTGCCGTTGTTGTTGTGGTTGTTGTTGTTGGCCTTACGTTGTTGGAAGAGTGGTGGTGGTGTTGGTGTTTTCTCCCTGGCCAGGTGCTGCGCCGAAACGTGGAGGAGTTCAAACGCCAGCACGCCGCCCAGCTGGAGAAGCAGCGCTTGCTGGAACGCGACTTTGCGCACCTTAGGGCAGCCCTCAAGCAGCGCGAGCTTGGGCCCGGGTTTGAGAAAGTTTTTTTAAATGTCATGGTTCCGCACATGCTGCCGGGGCTTAGGCGTGGACATGCCTAGACTTCGCTTTGGGAAACATCTCACATGGAAAGCTGAGGAACAGGCGGGGAGAAGTCTTCAGACGGCCCTTACCGAGCAGCAGCGGCTGGTGCGGGTAGCCACCGCGGAGGAAGCGCGACTCCAGGCCGCGTCTGACGATGCCTCGGAGCCCTTTGGATCATATTGTTATCGTCTAGTTCGAAGTTCTGGCGCACTGTCTTACCGCCTACATGCAGAACCCAATACTCTAAATCCTATCAACCGAAGCCCTTCTTTTTGATGGGTTTGCTTGGCGCCACACGAGACTCCCAGAGGGCGGAAAAGCGGCCCTAATCATTGAAACGGCGCCTTGGGGCATGTCTAGTCTAATCATAATAAGGAGCCCCAAGCAAGGAATACCATATGCCATATAGGTACTCACATACAGGGATTCCGACTGAATTGAGGAGTCTTTGGCTGCCAGATGCTTCCTGCAGCCCAGGCTGTATGAACCTCTAGGGCCTGTGGGGGCTTTGCCATCGCTGCCTCGTGTGCCGGTTTCCTTTGGCGCTGGCTTCGTGGAGGCTGATATGACAAGCCGCCGGACCAGCAAAGCTTCCTCAGTGCCGCTTGGACGGGTTCATCAAACCAAATCAATGGCAAGATGGAGAACACAAGCACGCACACAGACGTGGTGTTCTCAATGTCGGAAATTGCCGGGTGGCACTTATGCTGATGTGCATCAGGGAACATACACCGACATTCTGCAAATTGCTGCTGTGCGATGCTCAGGTTGGAGGTTGACATGACGGGCGACACCTGAGTTCCTGCGGTTAAAAGGGTCAAAGTAACCCTGATTTAGCAGAATTGTGTATCAATTAGGTGTTGCGGGTTGTAGTTCTTTCGTGACCTGTATGTTTGATCATGTATGTATGCATGTATGTATGTACACGGGAGGGCAGGCAGGCAGGCAGGCAGGCATGTATGTGTGTGTGTGTGTGTGCGTATGCGTTTATGTATACAGTATGCATATATATATATATGTGTGTGTGTGTGTGTGTATGTGTGTATGCATGGATGGATGGATGGATGGATGGATGGATGGATGGATGGATGGATGGATGGATGGATGGATGGATGTATGTATGTGTGTATGTGTGTATGCATGTATGTATGTATGTATGTATGTATGTATGTATGTATGTATGTCTGTGTGCGTTTACGTGTACGTGTATGTATGTGTATGTATGTATGCATGCATGTATGTATGTATGTCTGTGTGCGTTTACGTGTACGTGTACGTGTATGTATGCGTATGTATGTATGCATGTATGTATGTATGTATGTATGTCTGTGTGCGTTTACGTGTATACGTGTATGTGTATGTGTATGTATGTGTATGTGTAGGTATAGAGTATACAGATACATGTGTGTAATGTTGTGTGCGTATACATATCTATGTCTAGAGAGAGGGTTTGAATTTAGGGTTTTCGCAACAAGAGCTTAGGCGGCTGCAGGGGGTTAGGGTTGAGCTGCCCAAGCTCCAGTTCCAGAAATCTGTGAGGAGTTCGGCCTCCTAAGCTTTCCGAAGCCCTATTACATTATCCGGAAAGAAATTGGCCAAAGCATTTGGGAGGGAGGGGACCTGGCACGCACCCTGCGTGGGGGCTTCTGAAACTGAGGTGTCCTGAAGGTTTGAGAAGTCTCGGTGGATTTAGGGTTCAGGGGAAGGGTGTGAAGTATTTGGCAAGCTAGTTGGACCCCTTCGTTTGAGAAACTGCCATGTGCTCATGGCCGCAAGATGCTAATGCCGAGCTTTGCGAGACACAAAAAACAGGCGTGGAGATGTCAGGGATTCATGAGTCCAGGCTCCCAAATCGTTTCCCAGCGCGGGTTCAATCAACATGGGAGCCCTGGAGGCTCCAGGCGGGACGGCCAGTACGGCCCATGAACTCGTAAGGCATTGCGTACAGTAAGGCCCAAAGCTCTGGAAGCCGACCAGCGCTGACCCTTCAGGGCTATAGTTGCGTCTATATTCAGCGTAGCCGCTTGTGCTGGCGATTGCAGAGTTCAGGGATACGTGTGGCACTCAGGGGTCCTAAGGGTCTAGCGCTCCATATTGACAAGGCTTGCAGCATTTAGGGTTTCTCTGAGTCGAGAAGCGACTTGCAGAGGCCTTGCTACCGAATTACGATTGAGACCTGACAAGGGCTTGTCCCCATATACGGGATTTAGCAACATTTCATCGCAGGTTGATAGCCGAAGACTTTGGGTCTTGGGGGTTGCAGAGTCTAGGAGAGTTCTGTCGCCTCCGAGCCCGAAGCACCACTGCGAGAGACAGTTAGCTGATGTAGGGGGTTCCTTATTATAATTATAGTAGACTGGGCCCCAAAACCCTACTGAAATGATTAAGGCTCCTCTATTGCCCGAGGCACTTCAAAACCAGCCCAAACTCGTCTTCAGAGGCGCGCGAGATCACCGCCCTTCCTCAGACCAAGCTGCTGGCGGCCGCCGCTCCGAGGTACCGAGCCCATTGAGAAGCTTGTGCGGCTCGAAAAGCATGTGCTCGCGCTCCCCAGGGTTTCAGACAGCGCGTGGTTTTTGAAACACTGCCCAGACTCGGGAAGTTTGTTGCTTTTTCTGTGGCCTGAGGGTGTTGCCTGCCCTTTACTTGGCCATGTCCTTGTGCGTCGAGTCAGAGTCACTCAGCCCCCGGCGCCGTTCATCCGGAAGGCCTCGCGAACAAGTCGCCATCCCGCAAACCTTTCCGGGAATCGGCGAAATCCATCGCAAGCTGAGAAATGACTCCGAAAGCCAGGCCAGATGCAATAATGCCGATAGGCCCTGTGGCACCAACTTAAATATCTGTTCAGCTCGTATTTTTATTCCAACATTTACCACAACAATGTGAGGCTGAGATTGTTGGTGTTTGTAGGCCATTGATCGTTCAGGAGCAAGCATGTCTATAGTCTATAGTCTAAGGCGCGCTAGGGTCTTGGCCCTTGTTTTCGCTCCGACGTCCTCAGCAGGCCTGCGGCTCAAAACCGAAGCAACCAAGTCGGGACGGATGGGGTGGAATTAAGGCTTTTGTTCTGCAGATGGGAAGCTGCAACGCTTTCCGAGCGTGATCAGCGACAGACGACTCCTGCAACTATTCAAGCACGTCCCCTCACCCACTCCTCCCTACGCTCTCTTTCTGCACTCTCTCTCGCTCGCTCTCTCTCTCTCTCCGCCCGCTGTCTCTGCCCGCTCTCAACCCGGACTGCTTCCTCGGGCTTGGGCATCGCAGTGTTTTGCATTGGGCTTAGGCCTGGGCGCAAGTGTCTACAACTGACCTATAGGCGTCCTATGCCTGTCAGGTATTTACGCTCCATGCATCGGTTCCCCAATGCGTAGCAGAAGGGTTCTCTTTTTAAGTTGGGGTTCCAACGCCGTGCAAACATGCCGTGCGCTTGAGCTCTGGAAGGGTCCGCGAAGAGAGAGCGAGCGACCATTGTGGGGAGTGGCGGCCGCACTTTTTTGGGGGTCGATGGGAACTGGATATAGGCACGATACCTTCCAATCGAAGAAACCGGGTTCTTGTTATATTTCTTGCGGACAACAAGCATTACAGTATATGTTGTATGCATACTTCTCCGCGATGTACGTGACGCGTGTCTGCATTCGGGTTCGTGGGTCCTACCAGGTTTCCGTCCTTGTCCTGACGCTGCTTCAGGAGCTCTGCTGAGTCTGTTCGCTGCGACGGTTTGCGCGTACAACTCGTGTGTTTTCCGTTTTCCGCACCTCCCTGCCCAGTTGGACGACGAGCAAGCTCGAACCAGACAAGCAACATCGCCTTTAAACCCTAAAGCCTGCATCCCACCCTAGCCGGGTGGGAAGCAAACAAGACAAAGCCCGAAACGGCACGGGCAAAGTACGTGCTCGAGTGCACGACAGTGCTTTCTTATGGATGCCGGTGCTTCGAGCCGTTGCCTTCACTTCAGTCGAGGTAGCATGTGGAAGGCAGATCAGGGACGCACAAAGAAGTATGAGCCCACTGTAGAGATCCGTAGAGTCCTGCAGAGCATACCGAGCCTGCTGAGTGTGCCTTCAATCGGAAGACGGGAGGCGGCCAAGATCCTGGAAGCCTTCTCTATCTCAAGTTCTATATGCCAAATAATCAATATGTCGTTCTTGGCACTGTATTTACAGTGTTGCACGTCATGCCACAGTGACTATATGCTACATATTTGTTGTTGCTTCGTCCTTCCAGCTACCACCTTCGGACTGTGCACGCCATGGCGGATCGCCGGCCGAACAGGCCCCCGGTGCAACTCGGCAATGCTCAAATCTTCCCGTCGTCGCTCATGTGCCTAGCGTGTTAAGATTTTGAAGGAGGTCGGTCTTTTTAAACAGCACCTGTCAGACGTCATCCATATGAATCGGGACTCTGCAGCATGAGAGGTTTCATTTTTTAGCCGTCAAACATGGTGCCTTCGCATGCCGTCCCTAAGATGATGACTTGATATGGCTTGCTTGCTCAAGCTTTTTTTCAAAATATTGGACAACACTTCCCATCTTGGTCATCATCACCCCTATCGACATCATGAAGATCATCAGTATTCAGTATTGTCGGTGTAGTTCCCTATTGTCATACCTTTGATTGAAGTTGACCCAAGAAAGCTTCGGTGCTGCATTGCTTGGAGTAGCTTTGCCCGACCTGAGGAAGTTTCGGGAAGGTTGCATGATTTTTGGCAACACGACGCTTGGCCAGGGCCTCAGCACGCAGCACTGGGTTTCAGGGGAAAGCAGATCGTCCAGCGTCTCGGATGAGATGCTGAAGGGCTGATGTGCTTCAATCTACGTGGGGTCACCTTGCATTCAGTCGGAGTGGTGGGCTTGGGAAGAGGCCGTTTGCTCAGTGCAGGAAGCAACGAAGTGTTTTCTGGAGGTCCTGTACAGTATGGTGCTGCAAAAGCTGCTGTCATAACTGTACATGCAATGTCTGCGTAGGTTTGCATAACCATAACACCGGGGCAACCTCAACCACCGCACCACTGAGAATAGCAACGGTGATGCTACTGTAGCCGTTGCAGACATCGACAATGCCCTAGTGTATGTGGATCAGCAAGACGACCCGCCGCTGGATGGAAACATGCACGTTATTCCTAGAACCCTAGAAGGCCCGAATTGAAACTACCGAATGCATTGGAATGGCCAAGAGTGACAACTCTTGTTGCTTTGTCCTCCCGTAAACCCTGAACTCTGCGCCTTTCTCTATCGCTGCAACCCTGAGCCATCATGAAACCTGTAGTTATTATGGCTGATTAATTAATTTAAGAGTTGTGAGACCAGTCGTTGTGAAACCTTGCCTAGCTTGCATGTGCCATTGTGAGAGATGGCATATCGTTTGAGAGAGTGAAGCGAGCGAGAGAGCGAGAGAGAGAGAGAGAGAGATTGTATAAATTAAACCTGAGCCCTAAACAACGGATGGCTTTCAGCGAGGCCACAGCTCGGTCAAATTCAGACCCCGGCGTAGGCAACAGGCCACTGCTTCTGATGGGTTTTGGGGTTCAGGGTTTCGGGGCCAGGGGTAGAGGTTTCGGGCTCATGTGTTGAGGGAGGAGGGTTCGAGGAGTGTTAGCTTAGTGCAATTCAATGATGTACAAATGATACGGGTTTCCTTTTTGATGGGCAGGGTTCGTACTCCCATGTTCCTGCATTTCTTGAACAGCCGGGTTACATGTTTCTGGGCCGTTCACTTGTCATCACTGTTCGTGCAACTCACAAATGGGTGATTGCTGTGGAGTGACAAATCGGTAGGATCCAAGCAGCTTGCGATGTTCTTTGGCCTGAAATGCTTTCCCAAGCAGAGGCGTTGCCACGAACAGCCAGCATTGGCATCCGTGCTTGCAGGGTGCTGTGCAACGCTCAGTTTTTGTCGTCTTGTCACTGCGTTGTTATGTAATATCAACTGAAAATAAGCCTCAACCTCGGAAATCCCGGGCCCTGCAAGCGACCATGCGCCAATGGTGGGTGGACGTGCCACTACCCTGTTGGTACTCTTTGTCGTCGGCCACAGAGCAGAAGGCGTGGAGGTGCGCTGTGGTTTTAGTACCGGTTGGCTGCAAACTGTGACCAAGGCTAAAGCAGTGTGCAGCCTGTATAAGGCTAGAGCCCATCGAACACGCTCTGCGTTTTCTTTCTTTTTTTCTCATTTCTGACATGTGAAGAAGCAACATCCAGCCGACCCCTGCCAGGAGCCATGCGTTTCCATGCGGAAGGCCCAGGCTGCACGGGTGCTCCAGGAATTCCGCCTCTCTTTGAAGGGAGCCGGAGCTGTGGATCAGCACTTGAGAGCCGTGTTTGCAAGGTCCAAAGACTCCTGCAAGGGCGGGCAGCCGCTCGACGAGGTGGTGAAAGCAAGTCGGACTTTTCTCAGAAGCCTGGGATCCCTCGGACGAAGAGAGCGGGGACCCTGGTGTAGCCACAACTTCGACCTCGTGTGGTGGGAGGCCCAGAACCTCACTGGATCCTTGTTCCGACCGTGGTCATATCACATCCCGCTGCTTCGCTGAACTCACAGGCTCACTGAGCTTCATGCGAGAGGTTCTTGTTTCCGCTTCTGGTGACTTAACGGTATATAATACTGAGAGCGAAATTGAAGGATGCCGTGATAGCGACTAAGGTTCAAGAGGGCCCTGAAGCAGGCAATTGCTGCAATGAATGCCTGCGGGCTTCAGGGAAGGTTCGTCCCTTCCGAGGGCACCCTCATCGCCTTGCTCAGATACGGGAAGCTGGCTTTTGATCTTGGCGGGGTCGTTGACCACGTGGATAAGGACATTGACATGAAGATCTTCGTCCGGTCGCAGGCGGAGTTCCTCCTGAAACTTGAATGCATCGTCTCTTACCTCGAAAGCTGCAAAGGAAAAGGCTGGAGCTGGGCCTGCTCTCCTCCGAACTATGGCACCACGCTTCCTGAAGACAACGGTGAGCCCTGGTTCTTTTCATGTGTCCTCGCGCGAAGGGATGGTGGTCTGGAGACTTTTGGGAGCAGCGTGGATGTCGGTTTCGCGCGATTCTTCATAGCAGGAGATTCACTCAGGATGGCATTGAACTGCAGCAAGAATTCCTACTGCCAGAAGCTTCAGCAAGAGGCAGGTTCCGTAAAGGAGTTCCTCTTACCATTGGGGAAGTGCAAGGCCTACGACACTGAGCTGCCTTGTCCCAAGTCGCCTGTGTCCATGATGCAACGCAGCAAGGAACACACCAACGAGTTTAAGGGTCATATAGCCTTGCCAGCCGTTGCTGTGGAACGGTGCTCGTTTCACTCGGGCACCGCACGCCTCCTGCAACGTGGCCTCGAACTGCGCCAGATGCTCGCACTGCGCGAAGAAGCACACAAACTCCATCACGGAGGCTGGGCATCTTTCTACGACTTCTGGTTCTATCCCGACGGGCAGATGAGGCCTTTGCCCGCGGAGCGAATCTCTGCTGACATGCGCTCGGGTGGCGAAGGTCGCTTTACACGCTCCGTCCCTGTGTCGGACCCGGTGCACACATTTATTGCAAGATTTCGGGGATTAGCCCAGGTGTTCGCGTTTTCAGGACTTGTGCAACCCAAAGGAAGGGATCAGGCATATGTCAACGGCGTGGCATATGCAAGTGGTCTGGCAGATGCCGGTGTATCGGTCGAGTGGATTCTTTATTACAGGCCACTTGTAAGGCATGCAGCACAAGCCATATTGCAACTGACCAAATCGCCCTTTCATTTGGCTGCATTGTGGGAGTTGAAGCCGATGGAGGTCTGCGCTGCATACTTTGTGGATGCAGCCCTTCGCTGTGATGCCACCTCTGCTCGTCGACAGGACCACTCCTACGTGGAGAACTTATGCAAAGGCTGGGCAAAGCAAGAAGCCGACGTCCTCAGCAACAGCTCGACAGCTCGCGACCGTTCCTTCCTTCAGCTCCTCTGGATTCTCGCAAAGGCATGCAAGGCTTTGCCGCCAATCCGGCAGCGAGGCAGCCAGAACGACAGCCGGCTGAGCCCCTTCAAGCACTGGCTCCAGTCCTTCCGCACTTTGCAAAGTGAAACCGGAAACGACGACGTGACGCATCACTTCTTTCCTGGGGCGACACCGGCAGAGGGCGTATCTGTACTGCTGTTCAACACCAGCAGCCTTGACTAATCGATTGTGCGAATTTTCGCTGGCCATCGGTTTCGTGGTCACACTGCCTGCAATACCCTTCAATACCCCCCCTGGCGAATTGCCCACCACGCCACGGCTCACTGAAAGACCGTCTGAGTCCCTGCAGTAAAGCACAGCGATGAAAAATCCTCCCATGCCTTCCCTAGTTGCTTGTACCACGTTGCTCGGTTCAGTCTTGTGTGCGGCCCAGCGTCGTTTGAGTCTGAGATATACTACATAAACTATATATACTGTTCTGGGGTTTCGTGGCGGTCGCCCTAAACCCCAAGATCACTTCGTCTCCCTGACTGCCTGGTCGGGTAGTCAGGTATGGTGAACCACCAGGGCCCACACAGGGAAGGTCGTAGACGTGCTGTAATTTCCTGGTTCGACCAACCCCGTGTTCGACATCGGGAGTCTGCAACAAAGTTTGAAAGCCTGCAGTTTATGCTTCATGCTACTGACTTGACTCGATCGCTGCATGGCGAGGCTCAGCCGCAGCCGGCGGTGCTTGAGGACGCTGAGGCCCGACAGTTCGATATGGAAGCCTGAATATGTTTATGCATATATATATATATATATCCCTTAGAGTTCTTCTTAATATGACCAGATTATGATACTTTCATGAACTTGCGTCAGGGACCGCCACGAAGCCAAAACGAAGCAGCCAGGGCCCGCCCTACGGCAACCAAAGCTCCACTATATACCCGTCCCTCTGCCCCTCGCTCGCTCTTGCTTTCGCTAACGACCTGTCCGTCTGTCACTGTCTCTGTCTGTCCTTCTGGCTGGCTCGCTTGCACTGTACTCTTTTCAACTCTTACTCTATGCTAGTTAGCTCTTCTTTGGGAAGGAGGCGCCCAATGTCACCCCGGACGCGCCCCTGGAGATCGATCCAGATGTTCTGTACAGAGCGCAGCAAATTTTCATGCGGCTGGGCCTTTGAACTCATGTCGGTGCCGTTGACATCCATACCAAGCGGAAGTACGTGATTATCGCAAAATCAAGAAGTAGAAGTAGGTGTAAAAGTAATAGGCGCAACAGAAGCAGCAGTGGTGGTGGTGGTGGTGGTGGGAGTGGCAGTCGCAGTTGCAAGAGCCGGAGCCGTAGCAGAGGCAGTAGTGGATTCGTGCTCGTACCGGTACCAATACTAGAACAGGCGATCGTACTAGCAGCAGTCCTAGTAAGTGTACTGTCCTGCTACTTGTAATAGTGCTAGTAGTAGTGCCAGTAGTAGGAGTAGTACTAAGAAGTAGTAGTAGCAGCAGCAGCACTAGCACTAGCACTAGCACTAGCACTAGCGCTAGCACTAGCACTAGCACTAGTAGTACTAGTAGTAGTAGTAGTAGTAGTAGTAGTAGTAGTAGTACTAGTAGTACTAGTAGTACTAGTAGTAGTAGTAGTAGTAGTAGTAGTAGCAGCAATAGTAGTAGTCGTGGTGGTGGTGGTGGTGGTGGTAGTAGTAGCAGTAGGAGCAG